GGGCTGGGGAGGGGAGCAGCTCCTCAGCCGTGACCGGGTGGCTGTGCCTGTGACAATCTCATTAATTTTGTGCGGCGGCTCCCGGGGCGCCTGGAGCCGGGGGCTCGCTCCTCACCAGCCAGCTCCCAGCTCCTGCCCTCACCCCACGGCCTGCTGGCTTCCACAGCATGGAGCTGCAGCTCTGCAGAGTCAGAGATGGTTGTCCTGCCTCCTGGGAGCAGGCTGGCACGTCGCATCCTTCCAGCCAAGGGGCTGTGCAGGCTGTGCTGGAGGAACAGCTGTGTCCGAGGAGAGCCACGCTCAGAGCTCTGGGAGCTGCACACCTCCAGGAGCTGGCACACCTGGACGTGCTCACTGCTGGGACACCTTGCTGGACCGAAGGCCGACTGCATCCCCACTTTTCTGGGGAAATGACTGCACTGCCTGCTACGTGTTTTGCAAAAGGGCATTGCACAGAGCCCCGCTGCCTCCCCAGCCTGATCCTGTGCTCCTCTGTGACACGGCACAGCTGGAGCTGCCAGCCACTGCTGAGAAATGGCTTTCAATCGTCAAAAGGGAAAAAAGGAAAGGAAAAAAATCGCTTCAAGCTCGGCAAAGCTTTGTAGTAAATTTTCAATGTTTCTCCCACACAACCTCTGCATCAGCAAGGTTATTGTTATTATTGTTATCACAATGTAAGATTAGAGGCAAATAGCTTTTAGAACATACAACGGGTGACTGCTTTCAAAAACCGTCCAAAATGTTGATGTTAAAAGGGGCTGCTGCATGCCCATAACATCTCCTTTCCCATTACCATCAGCAACCCTGTGCAATCCTCCATAAAGTAAAACCACATGCTGGAGCATTAATGATAATGGATGGACAGGCTGAGGCTGCCAACGTGCATTGCTGGGTGTAGGTCAAGCAAGACAGAGCACAAAAAGGCACAGATAGAAAAAATGCTTTCAAATAGTCACCCTCCAAGCAGTAACCATGTGTTGAATCAAAACCATGATAGATTCTCTTGCAGAAAACTCCTACCCAGAAGAACAACTGAGAAATGCAGACAAGTCTCTAGGTGGCCACCAGGCGTGGGTGGCCAGCATTGCCATCCTCATCCACCTCTCAGAGGCCCAGGATCTCCATGGGGGGTGTGGAGGGGGGAAATATCCATTCAACCTTTGCAATACTTGTGAAGTATTTTCATTGTCATCACAGCTTCTCTCACAAAAAACTCAAACCCAGGTTTTGATGACGAGCCGGGTCTGAGGCTTCTCATTGCTCCTGCCATAAAAGCACAGCAGAACACAGAAAATACAGGAGTCCATCAAATCTCACAGCTACACCGGAAACAAGGAAAGCTCAAATTAAACCTGGACAAAAATCCCATCTTGTTCTGTTTTTGAGAGATTGTGTGCAATCCAGCTGCAGCAAGTCCCAGGGGCACCTTGCCAGGCAGTGCAGCAGCCCCCCACCCTCACAGCCATGGAAGCACCACCTCGCTGGTTGGCCATGGATGGTTTGAGTCACCAGAGGGATGGAAGTGGTCTCCACACTTCAAAAGGCTCCCAAACACGCTGTCATGAATCAAACAGCTGAAAATAAAACCCAGCAGCCAGACAAGTGGGGCAAGGGCTGTGAATCTGCGAGACATTAGAAGAAAGTGTTTTATGGGTTTTTCTTCCTTCCTCTCCTCCCTGCTGTCTTTTGGCTAAAGGCTCAAGGTTTTCTCTGGGACACAGCTTTCTACATCCCCCCGAGTGGAAGTGACCCAGCTTGTGCTGGCTGGTCCTGCCTGACCTCAGCCCCTGACCTGGCAGCTCCCACTCTGAAACCTGAATCCCAGGAGCTCTCTGCTCCCAGCACCAGGGGTGCAGCTCCCACTGGCTGCTGCTGGGTTTGTGTGTGCTGCACTCCCCCAGACAGGTTCAGAGGAGACAGGCTGTGCCAGCAGCACCTGCGGACAGCAAGAGCAGCAGGAGCTGTTCCTCAAGGCCAGCCTGCCCTGCTGCATGGAGAGGGACCAGCTCCAGCCCCTGGCATGTCCTCCCACCCCTGCTCCTGAGCCTGCCTGCCAAGGTGCTGCACCTCTGACACCTGCACACCTCCTGCTCCCACTGACGCCTTGGCAGCAATTCCCTGTTCCCAAACTAAACCTAGGAACCAAACACAGGGCACAGATGGAGCATGAGGGTCCTTCAGGAGCAAATTACAAATCAAATGCAACCTCTTAGAACAGGAGATGCCTGAAAACAGGGACTGAGGGATCCCCTGTGTGGGGAGGCACAGGGCTGGGCTTGTTCACAGCTCAGTTTCATGGCAAGCAGAGCAAAGGAGAGAAAGCCCTGGGTGCTGATGGAGGCAAGCAAAGCCAGCACACTGACACAGGAAGAATTAAATACTGGGAAGGCATCTGGCCTGTCATCACTCAGAACTTGTAAACACAGCAGTGGTTATTACCAGAACTGAACAATGAGACTGGAAAAAAGAAGTCTCCACTGATTCAGGCAATTGCTGAATCAAAGCAGCCATGAGAAGTAAAATGTTTGCTCTTCCCTACCAGAAAGTGCTTGGCTTCCCATGGTACCTGTCTGGTCTCAGCTGCTTGAAAACTTTGTGCCGTGTGCTGCAGGATGAGGTGGCTGAGCAGCTCCAGCGGGTGTCAGAGAGCTACACCTAAGGGTGGCCAAACTTCCAAGCTTGTGAGAAATCTAAACCTCCTGAAATCTGGTTTCACTCCAACTTGCAAAAAAAGCTAACACTTGTGAAATTTCTCATGACACAGAATGACTTTCCCATCTAAAAAGAATATCTGGTAAACATCAGCATGAGGCATTTCTGCAATCAGCTGTTCTCTCCAAAAAGCCCAGTAGCTCCAAATGAAAACAAGATGAGAAAACCACAGTTAAATTTTCAGGGAAACTCTGCTCTCATCCTACCCCTTCCTCTGGTGTCCCAGCTCACACAGACCGCCTGGAAACCCTCACAGCCTTAGGCTGGGGTGGTAGAGTTTGGGGAGTTGGACTGCAGAGCTGGAAGCCCCAGTGCCCTCCTCAGAGTGAAACCACTGAACCTGCAAGTGAAACCAGCTGGGGACCAAACCACCCCACCAAGGCCAGTGGGGACCCAGCAGGACCCTTAGGGGAGCCCAGGCAGTGTCACTGTACATCTGCTCCACCAAGACACTTCTGGTGGTGGCAGAACCAACCTGATTCAAGTCACCTTCCAACTACTCACTTCTGGAGAGTGCAGCAACAGCTTGAAGAGCTGGCTGGACTGGCAGGAGGCCACACAACATCCGCTATCCCCAGCGGACAAGGAAGCCCCCAGGAAAGTGAAATATCAGTGCCATGAAATGCTGCATTTCATCTAAGCACAAGGTTTCATAACACCCATTTATTCATCCCAGTTACGTGCACCCACCCCAGTGCCCATGACCAGTTTCCAGAGCACTGCATCCTGAGGCTGCTGCTGGTGGTGCTGTTCCCAGCACATGTGGTCACCCTGAGAGGATGCTTCTATCTAACACAGCCAACAATTAAGGGAGGGACAGGAACAGAAACAAGATCTGCTTGCTTAGTTCTGCTGCCAGACTGGAAATAAAATTTCCAGCCACTGGAATGGCCAAAATCCATTCCCTTTGTACTCACTGCACACTCAGGATCGTTTGTGTTATCCTCCGAGTTTCCTTTAATATAATCTCCTTTTTTGAATTTTTATTATTGTTTTAATTGAGAATCCCTGGGGCATTTTAAGCCAATTCTGGTAAAGCAAAAGCAAAGCCACAAACCGCACTTCCACTTCAACCATCCACTGGTGGATCTTCATGTTCAAAAAGCAGCAAGGGGACAGGATGGCTCAGGTGTCTGCCCAACACCTGTGAGTGAATTGCTGACACAGTCACTGGTGCCTTGCCAGGAGGAGAAGGAAGCTCAGAAAGGATCAGGGACAAGCATTGATGGCCCAGGCTCCCAATCCAGGCACTCCTGTGAAGGCCATGAGCGTGGCAGATCCAGCTGGAGGATGGTGACAGCCCTCCTGTGTCTGCTGCCAGCAGCACCACACCCACTAGGGACAGGGCCAGCTCCCAGCACAGTGACACAAGGGCAGAAGGGACAATGTTAGAAGGGTTGGGAGGCTTTGGATGCCTCATCATTCCTCCATCTCTCACACCAAGACAGCAGCAGTGAGCCAAACCTCAGGCAAGAGTACAGGGAGGGGCTTTCTCCTCTTTCTCCCACCAAAGTGCTGGAACCAAGTGAGGCCAGCAGGGAGGAGATTGCTGCAGAGCAAGCATCCTTCACCTCCAGTCAGTTGTCAGGGTATTTCACATCCTGTCTTCCAGTTTTGGGAAGCAAGGCTGAACCTCCAGCAGCTGTGGCAGCTAGCAGCCCCAGCAGCCCCTGCCTGCTCCGTGCCTTCCCAGGCCTGCGCCCTGGGATGCCTCTTCTGATGCCGAGATGCTGCTGGAGATGATCCCAATTAAAGAAGTGAGGCTGTCACAATTTCAGCTGCACGAGGGAGATGAGAAAATGAACGGTGTCACTGAGTGTCTGCAGGAACAAATTTACAAACCTAATCACCTCCCAACACAGCCAGGCTGCCAGTGCCTGAAGAAGGGTGATAGGGGAGAAGAAAGCTTTTGGGACTCTTAAAGAATATAAATTCACCCTAATAGGAACTGGATCTATCCCTGCCTGTAATCAGCAGCAGAACTGAGATCCTGAACTGGAATATTAATACAAGTGCTCGATGTGAGATGAAAACCTCTCAAAATCTCTCTCAAATAATGAGAATTAAACATCAGAAGCACAGCACAGCAAAATGCAATGCAGTTGTGCTGTCAGGAGGAGTCTGCTGAAGGGGGAGGTTGAGAAATTCCATGGAAGATACGACTGGCTCCTGGCAGTGCCCAGGACAAAATACCCGTTCTGACTGCTTCCTAGCACGCTGGCTTTTCATTACAGACACCCTCCCAAACTTGGGTGTGATCCCTGTTTCTCTTTACAAATACAGGATAATTAAATTTTTAATACAGGTTGATCAGGTGCATCTTCTGCACCTAAAGAAGACAAATACGTGGGAACAGGAAAGAAGCTCTTATTGTAACATCTGCTCTATTTTGTTATTCTTTATTACTGCCGTTATGGTTTGGGGGGTGGGGAACATCTCTGACACTTCAGTGAGGTACTAAGTATTTGGGGTGTTCAATTTAGGATATTGCATTACAAATGAGCAGCTTTTCCTGCAGATCAAGTTGATGGGGAACAGCTAACACTGAGAAGGGTGCAGCTCCAGGACACAGCCTGGGGCTGAAGCCCAGGCTGCAGGCACACCTGCCTGTGGCAGAAGAGGGGCCTGGCAGAGTGATCACCCTGAGGAACATTCTGCAGCTGGTAGGCAGCTCTTGCAAGAGGCATTTCTGTTCTCTCACGTTTGCTTCTCTCCTTGGTGTGTCCACAGGGGTTGCAGAGCAGCAGAGCACCTCCAGCACACCGAGCCACTGCAGGGTGGGAGACAGCCCACAGCCAGCAGGCACTTGGCCAAATGGAAGCACATCATCCCCCAGGCTCCTTCCCAAGGCCCAAGGGGGCACTCAGGCCATTCCTGTGCACCCTACCCCATCCTCAGGAAGCTTCTGCTGCCAAGGCCTCCTCCCATGTTCCCTGACTCCGAGAGAGGGATGTGCCTTCCACACGTACCATATCAGGGCCATGAAGAATGAAGAAAAAGGAGTTTTCACTTCCCTGAGGACAAAAGAAAGGTGCTGGAAAGCACCTTCTTTTGCAGGAAAACACTCTCTTGAGAAAGGGACAAAGCAGAGCTCCAATAGGAACGTGCCCAGGTTGGGCAGCTCCATCCCAGCTGAGCCATCCCTACCCTAATATGTGCATGTCCCAGCCCAGCTGGTCTGTCAGCCTGGCATGACTCATATTTGGAGGCTTATTCAGCAAAATCCAGCAGCAGGACCTTACATCTTCACCACACAGGCCCAAACAGCTGCTGCAGGGCTGACTTTGTGTGAGAAGGTGCCAGGAAGGATGGGCAGGGAGCTCCAGGCTGCAATGGCCTCCCCTTCCTCCCTGAGCAGTGCCAGCAGCACCACGGGCACGGGGGGCTGCAGAGAACACTCCTGACTGCCAGCCTACACAGAATGATGGCAGGGAAGAGAAGGATGTGTGCCACACACACAGGGCACACGGGGAGACCCCAGACCCTCTGTGTGCCTCTCACAGCCCAGCCCTCTCCTTCGGCTTCGCTTGGGCTTCAGCAGAAGTTTCCTGTTCCTGATTAGAGGAAAGCAAAGCCTCAGGACCTTTGAGCTTCAGGACTCACGTTGCAAGTGAGGCACAGAGAGAGACAGACATGACCTGGAATGCTCTGTATCTCCTCCTGCTCTGCCCTGACAAAGCAAAGGTCCCACTCCTCTCCCCTCTCCCTGCCCTGCTCCATCATGTCTGTCCTAGAGTGGTCATTCAGTGCTCAGCTACTGATGAAAAGGGGCAATTCATAGCATTTTTTAGTAAAACATCTTTGTAGCAAGCTTGTCAGTACAACATCAACTCTTCTTACACACAGCAGATGCACAGTAACAACTGCACATGACATTGCACAGCATCAGTGACTGAGGCTGCCAAAAAACAATAAAACACGTTAAGGAGAACTCTATTTTCCCCTGTCACTTACATGACAGATCTCCTTAATTGACTACTTTGCTGTCAGAGACAATTAATGAATGAGAGAGAAATGGGCTTTCTTGGTTATTAGTACCCCAATTGCTTTCGAATCTATCAGGTTAATTTCATGTAAATGAAAGCGAGGATTGAAAGCCCCAGTTGCTGGAAGGGTGGGGACAGGGACTGGAGCTCCATGAGGAGCTCAGACACGCTGGGCCACGGCTGGCCTTGGGGATGTGATGGTGCAGAAAGGCAAAGCTGGGGAGAGGAGTGCAGCCAGAGCCTGCCTGTAGGCAGCTCGCACCTTCCTGTCGGGACAGCCGAGCCAGAGCAGCAGCATCGCCCACCGCCGGGAGAGGGACACACGGACACACCGCCGGGAGAGGGACACACGGACACACGGACACACGGACACACCGCCGGGAGAGGGACACACGGACACACCGCCGGGAGAGGGACACACGGACACACGGACACACCGCCGGGAGAGGGACATGGGACACACGGACACACGGACACACAGACACACCGCCGGGAGAGGGACACACGGACACACGGACACACAGACACACCGCCGGGAGAGGAGATCGGANCCGCCGGGCGTCACCGCCGGCCTGCTCAGAGACAGCGACTTCACTGGGCTCAGGTTTTGCTTTACTCTTCAGAGCTCTCACCTCCTGGCTTCTCCGCCCAGGATTACCCTCTTTGCCAGGCAGAGGGGCTGGCATACGGTCCTGCGGGATTTTGCCACTGCCTGTTATATTGTGCTGCTGGGAAAGCCCGATGTTTCTTTCAAGGGTCCTGCAGCTGCTTTGAACCTGTAGAAAATTAGAGAGAAGCCAGTTATCACACAGTTCTGGCTCGACCAAGGATGATGCTCTTGCCCAGGCTCGCTGTGCTGGGGTCACCTGCAGCCCGAGTCGGTACGCCTGGGGAAGCCTGGGCCAAAGTAGGTCGTGGGTACAAAAAAATCCACATGCATTCCAGAGGAACCTGGATAAACAGCTGGAAAGGAGAGCCGCTGCCAGTTCCCACAAGGGGCTTCAGGAGGAATGACAACTCCATGTGGAGTCCATGGGCAGAGCCTTGGATTTAGTTTGCAATATGGCAGAAGGTCGGTGCAGGGGGGTAAACTGCAGCGGTTTAGAAGAAAGATTTACAATATGGGCTGGAGAGTTGCAGAATAAAGCACTAGGCTGTCAGCCTGCTGTCTGGAGCTTGGACACAAGACATCCTCGAGTTCAAGGGGATTACACCTTCCTTTGCGAGGAGCACAGTGCAGCATGGTCACACCCCACAAAAAGCTTCCAAATTTCCAGCCGGTGAATTAATGTACATCTGTCAGCTCAAAGACCTGAAGTGCCACAGAGTAACTAGGAAGGGACCTTTGGAGGTCACCTGGCCCAGTCCCTTGCTCCAGGTAGAATCAGCTTCAAAGCTAGGTAATATACCCAGAGCCTTCACCACTCCAAGAGGGTGCAAGTTTATAAATTGTTTATAAATTGTTTATAAATTGTTTATAAATTGTTACTGAATGACCCAGCAAGGCCTACCCTAAGATTAGTGTTCAGAGCAGTATAAAAATAGGCTGAACCAAGTAATTAACTTTACCTGTAACAGAGGACTTCTGGAAGCAAAAAGAAAAAGCCAGGGCAAATAATTTAAAATCCAAATTACAAGAAAAAATATCCAGAAGTGGGAAGGGTTGTTACAATGGAACAAAAGCACACTGAACCAAACTGCCATTCACATGTATAAATCTATATTCACTACATATGATCTGAGCACAGACTTTGTCTTCTTTTTTAAATTTGTATTCATATAACCTCTGGACAGCACACTTCAACAGAAAAGGCAGAGATTTCCTAGGACACATCCACAACTCACTTGTGATCTCACAACCTCAATTGCAGGTGGTGCTGTATCAACATTACACTTACAAAACTTGATTTTGGATGTCAAAAATCTGCTTTGAGAAACATTTATACAGCAATGACTTATCAGAAAAAGATTAGGTTGCTACAATAATTTTTTTGAGGCAGAGGAGGGAGGATGTTAAGCTAGTGTGCTTTAGATAGCATTAATAATCTGCATTTCAGGCAAGCTGCAATGATGTTAATTTAACTGTATAAAAACATTCCAGGGATCAGTGCTTTTATTTATCAACAGCATCACAGCACTGGCAGATGCCGATTACTGCATTCACAAATTCCAAATAAAACATGAACATGAAACAAAATCATAACTTCCATTTTGAACCAGTCCTGCTGTCCTTGGAAAAGAACAGCTAAACCCTCCCCTTGAGAGCACCGCAGACATACCTTGAGCAGAATCGTGTTTCCTTCATAGTCCTGTGTTTGCCACCTGGTGCTGCTGATAGGAACACAGGGGTTGGGAAGGAGGGGCACCAGCTGCCCGATTTCTTGCACCCTGAACTGCAAGGCTGACGAGTCTCTGGGCTCGGCGGCCACCCCGATGGGCAGCTGCTTCAGGCACAGCTGCACGGCCACGTGCGGGGTGGCGTGCAGCACGAAGACACACAAAGTGCTCTTCTGCAGAGTGGCCTCTTTCTGGAGGATCATCTCGTAGAGCCTGACTGCATCCTCGTAGTTGTCAAAGCTGCAGTAGAGGGTGACGCGCAGGATTTCGGGGCCGCGGTGCGCCCGCCTGACGCCCCACACGGGCAGCTGCTCATCCAGGCCATAGAAGTCCTGGTGGGATGGGGCATAGGGGGGGCTTTGCCCATCAGCAAACTGGGCCCGCTGGTACCGCCAGGGAGGGCGCTGGAACTGCTCGTGGACCTGGAAAATCCGTTCTTCTCCCAAGTCCTCGTGCAGAAAAAGGAGGATGGATATTCCAGGGAAGCTGCAGCTCCTCTTGCGGTATCTCTCGTAGTATTTCAGGGGGGGAATTCTCTCGGACACCAGGAAAAGGCGAACATCCAGGCAGAGCCACTCCAAAAGGCGATCCAGAGTTTGCCGCAGGGGAAATGAGTGTCCCAAATGGGTGAGGAGATGCACGGTCATCAGAGACTCTGCTCCATCATCCATTGCGAAGGCTCCTGGCAAAAAATGAGACAAATCAGTGCTTTCCTTTGCTCTTTGTCTCAGGAACACAGGGGTGTACTCTGAGCCTTGAACACAATGAGCTCAGACTGCTGCAGGCTTTGCAGTAACCTGATAAAACATGTGGGTGAGCACAGGGAACGTGCAGAGGGGCAGGTGCAGAGTGACAAGGCTTTAAGCGAGCGGTCCCAGGTCACATCCCAGTGGAGCTCAGCTCCAGGCTCATTCCCAGCTCTGGAGCTCTCACCACCGGGGACATGCGACCCATGTGTCCAGAAACAGCTCTGTGTCCTCCTGCTCCTGTCGTTCACCACACAGGATAGCAGAGATGCACAGCACTGTAACAGCAGCAGTGATTTTCCAGGACCAGGCGATGCTCACTTGTCTCTTGGCAGTGGAAGTCGCCCCAGACCCAGCCGAGTCCCTCCAGTGCAAAGCCCATGTGGCACTCAGGGCTGAAACCCTCAGCAAATTTTCTCTTAGTCTTCAGGCTGGCTTTGGCTTATTGTAAAAAGCCTGTGATCTCTGTGAGTCCCACCCTTCTGGGGCACACAGATAAGCTATTCTTTGAAAACAAGGAAGGAAAACAAAATAACAAAAGAAAAAAACCCAACCATGTGAACATAACAGATAACAATGAGGGCAGATATAAATCAGGAAAGAGGAGCTTTGGGAAAAAATCTCGATTCATAGTTACACCCCTTACAACAAAGGCAGCTTGCTGCCTAAGTGGAAACCATGTCCTGGGTTATTGTACATAGCCCATAAAAGCTGGGTACCAGGCTTCCCATTTCCAGTGTCCTCTTTGCTTCTTTTTCATCCTGTATTTTTTTTCCTGAGGTACCCATGTAATCAGCAGCCTTAATCAAAATACAAGGGTTTTTTTTTTCTTGCTTCTTGGGTTTACATATTGGGACCTAACTTAGCTTTCTGCATAAGCTAAAATAGGAATGCTGAAAATACACTGCTTTCCAGGTCTCTTCCAGTGTCTGGACAATGAATCACACTCTCCCTTCATCTCCCTGTTTGCCAGCCCAGGAGCAACACAATAGAGATCAAGCCAAACCCCCTTCCTATACAGAACAGCACCTACTGTAGCCAATATTTAAATCAAAAGTGGGGCCTCTGGTGAGCTGTCCAGCTCCGTCTAATTAAGAGCAGCACATCTCTCTCTCTCTGCTGACATGCCAGCTTCCCTCTCAAGCAGCCAAGCACACAAAGCAGTGGTTCACTGCTAAGAAATCCCAACAAGTCTGTTAATCAAAATTCTGAACTATTCTTTTTAATGTGACCCTAACTTTATATTCAATGAAGTAAAATCTCCAAGGTTAAAGGTACAAGCAGCGGTGCCTTGGTTTCCTTAAGGGAAATCCCTCTCACTGATAGAAACACACATTCATGCTTTAAAAGCTACAGTGACACCTATGTACAATAAAAATAAAAAAAGACTGTCTAGAAAATGAGGAAAAAACTTATTTTGCACTCACCTGCAACTCTTCAAGCAAGTAACTGCTGAGGGGAGGGAGACAAAGACAAAATCCAGCCTTCAGACAATTGCAAGAAGAAAGTGAAGAGCGCAAGTGCTCAAAAACATTGACATTCTCTAGATGAGCTCTGAACAACACAATTTCACTAAAATATGGAAAAGGAAATGATTCATCAACTTGCTACAGGGCAAGGGCAGGCAGTCATCTGCCTTCCTGCCTGTGAAGAATAGGGCAATTTGCCTGTACAGGAAAGCACTGAAACGAAGTAAGTTCATCAGGGCTTGGTTTGTAGCTGGAAGCAGCTCCCAAGAGCAGGTTCCCCTATTCCCACCCCGGGTGAAGATCCTGTGGGCTGCTATGACCCCACGGCCCCAGTGCCTGTCCCCACTCCCCTTCTCCCTGGGAGCAGGACCCCGCTGCTGCACCTGCAAACTGCTCCCTCTCAGGGCAGTGAAGAGGAGCAAAGGGGGCCCAGCACTGCTTTCCTCGTGCAGTGCCATCACTGCTGGCTTGTGCAGCTCTCAGCCCCATCCCTGCTCCAATCTGCTGGACAAAATCCCATGGGCAGCTGCAGCAGTGTGGTGAAGGTGACAGAGGACTGGGGACATGAATTCTTGCACAGCAGTTGTGGCGGGGAAGGGCTGGTTAGGGAATGAAGCCAAAACCTTGGCCCTTTCCAGCTCCTGCTGTGGCCAGGGGGAGCCAAATTGTTTTCCAGATGGGCAGGTGCCTCCCACAGGGGCTGCTGAAGGTGTGCAGCATCCCTCTTGTTTTTACAACAGCCAAAAACCTGAGCCTTACCCACAAAATGGGTTAAATCCTGAACCCTCTGCCGTGTGCTTCTTCTGTGCTTGCTGGGGTGAGACAAGGAAACAATCTCAGCTCTGAAACTCTACCTGATGAAGCTGCCTGGAGAACAGTCTTAGGCCTGGTTCTCAGCTCTTCAGCAGCTCTGGGGCAGGAGAACCCACCAATCCTCCTACAAGGGAGAGATGTGCTAAACATCAGCCTGCTCTCAGAGGAGAGCAGCCCCTCCACCAGCCAAACACTTCCATTCCTCTTCCACTTGCTCTGACAGTTAAATATCCTTGGGGACAGGCTCAATCCAAGCTCCCCAGCCTTGGACAAGGGTATTATCCTCATGCCCTCTCTTTGTCTCATCTATTGCCCCCCCAAACCTTGGCATAAAGCCTGGGTGCAATGGCCCTCAGCCTGCTGAGCTGAGACCCTTCATCCAGCACTGGTATCAGGGAAAAGGGATGGCTGCCATCAGAACAAAGTGCTGGCTTTTGCTGGACCTTCTGAGAAAAGCAAAGGGCTGATTTCACTCCAGTCCCTGAAGGGAATGAGTACTTGCCTTCCTCTCTGCTTCCCCTTCCCCCAGCTTTGCAGTCTGGCTGCCAAACGGAAAAGCACATTTTTCATAGTGACCTACTGAACGCGCCAAGAAAGATTTCTTCAAGAGATTAGAAAAATAGCAGCTCAATCTTACATGGAAAGTTGCTTTGCTGAGGGGAGGAGGGGTGAACAGTTCTGATATGGGACTCAAAAGATTTGGGGCCCCATTCCCAGATGGCAGTGACTGGTAACACAGCAGAATGTACAGGAAGCTGCTGGGGCACCCCAGCTGTGTGTAAGAGCAGGACAAATGTGAACATTTGCATTCAGCACTAATGCATACACTGGTAAACCCTCCACAAATTAAAGTCCAAACATAAACAACTAATAAACACTTTATGGTGTGAAGCCTCAGAGAATACTGTCTGCTGTAAGCCTAAAATTTTACAGTTGAAAGCCACAGCACAATAACTAAAAATTCCTTTTCATAATTAATTCCTGAGTTGTGCCTAGTCCTCTGCACTGGTCAGAGCCCTTTGCTTGAGCTGACACCACCAAAATTGATGATGCATCACAGGATTTAATAAGTTCAGAGCAACATCTGTAAGGAAGGTACAAGGATTATTAGAATTTAATTAACTTGAGAGAGACTGAGTATGCATTACCTAAGCACCTTGGGAGAAGGCCTCATTAAATACATGACTCAGGCTTCCTAATTTCATTAAAAACATTTTTTTTTTGTTTTACACCAATCTCAAGCTCTGCTTATAACAAGGACAAAACTACTAAATTAACCTGCTAGATGACAATTACATACAGCACACACAGTACTGAGATAAAAATCAAGATTAAGGCCTTGCTTGAATACAAAAGTCTTTTCAGAGATTGTCTCAGGCTTCAAACCCCATGACTCCAATTCATCACCACTTTGGAGGAAACTCCAAAAAAATCCCAATGACCAAAAGAGCAAAACCCCATCTAACCTACTGCATTTATTTAAGCAGACTTCTTTCCCAAACGATTCTTGTTTCTTCTTTTTAGCCAGGATGAGGAAGCAGTAATCCAGCAAAGGTCTGTCAGCAGGCAGGACACACAGAGAGCTCCCCACACTGAGTCAGGGTGCGAGCCCATCGAGGAGGGAAGGGGAAGCTGCAGGGAGCAGGGGCAGCAGTCTGGGGCTGCAGCAGCCGTGCAGCCCCAGCACTGGGACACGCTGCTCCTGCAGGAGCTGCTGGCACAAGGGAGAGCTCCAAGGCTCATGGCAGGTAAAATGGGAGGTGAGAGAGGTTCCTCTGAGCCACAGCTCCCGGGCAGCAGGGATCCTCGGCACTCTGGCTGCCAGAGGGACACCCAGGATTAAATCCCATCTTCCCTGTGTGCCTGGTGACTGCAGTAACGAGGGTAAAGCAAAGTTATCCTCAGGTGACACAGGTTTTGGGGTGAGGGCAAGGCTGAGAGAGCAGTGCTGAGACACAGAGATGAGCTTCCTAGTAGTAACAGATAGGCTGTAGAAAGGCACTGCATGGCCTTGGCTGGTTCTTGTACTCATCTCTCACCAAATGTGGGTTATGCATCCTCAGCCAGGCACTTGCAGAAGTTCCATTTTTCCTCAGTTTTCATTTTGTCTAAAATATTTAAAAAAAAATCCAAAACACTTCATGCACCCAAACCAAGACCCACTAAAGGTAATGAGCCAACTGGAAGTTACAGCAGAAGCAAATGTTTGGTAACAAAGATCACAGAATGGCTCAGGTTGGAAAGGGACACCATGGGGCATCTGGTCTGACCTCCCTGCTCGGGCAGGACCATCCCAGAGCACATGGCACAGGATTCTGCCCAGACACTTCTGGAATATCCCCAGTGAGGGCAGACTCCACACCTTCTCTGGGCAACCTGATCCAGTGCTTGGTCACTGCACAGGGAAGTTTTTCCTCAGGTACAGGTGGAACTTCCTGGGCATCAGTTTCTGCCATTGCCTCTTGTCCTACTGCTTCACAGCACAGAGCATTCCATTCTCTTGGCACCCTCCCTTCAGCCCCTTATTGATCAGCTCTCCTCTCAGCCTTCTTGAGATGAACAAGCCAAACTCTTTCCGCTTTTCTGTCTTGACTTCAAGGAGCCAACATTTAGAGCTGACCCAAGACGGTATTTTCGGGATCCCTCTGCCCACATGCATAGTGTCAATCCATTTCCACAGGTCAGAGTGGGACGAGGGGGAAGTCAGCCTGCTAGATGTGAATTTAAGTGCCCAGCTTCAGGGATTCATTTCTGAAAGATTTAACACAGCAATTTTTATGTAAGTTACACTTCAATTAAAAATCTTCCAGAAAAAGAAAACAGGCAGATCTAAACAAACCCAAGATTTGCAGGGTCCAGTGAAGTGTTTGTTTAATCAGCTTACATTTAGCATTGTTGAAGGCAACTCAAAGCAGAATTCTTGGAAGGCCAGCAGCAGTGCTGGGCATGCCTACACCCTGCCGAGTGCTAATAAGAGCGAGTCCCCAGGAGATGGTGACCTCGCCAGTGAGGCCAAGCTCCAGCTTAAGGAACAACTCAGACCCACACACTGTGAAGGCTTCTAATTACTCCCTTTTTCGAAGACAGCCTTCCTGAGATACAGAATAATACACCCAAACTTCTAATTAAACAAAAGTCTTGGCCTGTATCCCACATTATGCTGGAATTGCAGATTTGCATAATTAAGTTGATACCAAATGCTGTGACAGACAAGCTGCAGATTATTACCCGCATCT